CAACTACATATGCAATGTCAGGTCTAATACAGTCAGTCGCATAACGCAAGCTACCAATCATACTAGCATGTTCCTTTTGATTAATTATATCCTCATCATTTTCAACAGGAAATAAACGCACATGAGGATCAAAAGGAGTAAGAATATGCTTGCAGTTATAAAAATTATATTTTCTCAACATAATGCGACTGATCAAGAAATATACCATCACAGGTTTTGATAATTTTTATTTCCAAAATATAATTAGCCTCACCAAGATCTTCATATCAAAATGGCTACTAAGCATATTTTTAGTTTCCACGATGATATGCAAATTAGAGCCAAATATGAGTAAATCATCCACATAGAGGCTAATAATGACATGTGAATTTTCTTCAGATTTATAGTAGATGCATTTATCACATTCATTCGTTTTATAGTCATTCTCAATCATGCAGGAATCAAATTTCTCATGCCACTGTTTAGGGGCCTGTTTTAAGCCATATAGGGATTTAACTAGCTTGCACACTATGCTTTCTTGACCGCGTTCCACAAAACCCTCAAGTTGATCCATATAGATTTCTTCACCCAGGTCTCCATTTAAAAAAGCTGTTTTAACATCCATTTGATGAATTTTTAGATCATGAATTGCAACCACTGCAATTAATAATCTAATGGATGTAACTCTAGTAACCGGAGAAAATGTATCAAAAAAGTCAATATCTGCTTGTTATTAAAAATCTTTTGCAACAAGCTTTGCTTTATATTTATCAATAGTTCCATCCGATTTAAGTTTTTTTCTCAAAACCCATTTACAGCCAATAGTTTTACAACCTGGTGGTAAATCTACTAATACCCAAGTTTTATTGGATAATAATGATTCCATCTCATCATTTACAGCCTCGTTCCAAAAAATAGAGTCAGGAGATGCCAAAGCTTCTTGTAAAGTTAATGGAGTTTCCTCTACATTAAAAACATGATAGTCAGGGCCAAAATCTTTTTCTAATCTGGCTCTTTTATTCCTTATTGGTTCAAAAACTACAGTATCTTGGTTTTGTAAAAGAGGAGTAGAGGAACCGGTTTCAGATAAAATATTTTCTTGATAATTTTGACCTCCACCATTTTTAGATTTAAAATGAAATTTTTCTTCATGAAAAATTGCATCACCTGATTTAAAAATTATTTTGTTTTCAATATCAAAAAATCTATAGGTTGTACTATTTGTTGCATATCCAAGAAAAGCACAAGTGGCAACTTTCACACCTAATTTAGGTCTTTTAGGGTCCACAAGTCTAACAAGAGCTAGACAACCCCAAACCCTCAAATATGTCAAATTTGGCTTATGCCCTTTCCATAACTCAAAATATGTAACTTTTGTTTTTTTATGTGGCACTCTATTCATGACTTAGCATGCAGTTAAGATTGCTTCTCCCCACAAATTTGAAGGAGCACCTGCTTCAATTAGCATAGCATTTATTAAATCAGTTAAAGTTCTATTTTTCCTTTCTACCACACCATTAGATGCAGGTGAACATGGTGGAGTAGTTTTATGGATTATTTCCAAAGACTGAGCAAACGAGTTGAATCTAAAAGATTCATACTCCCGGCCTCTATCACTTCTATATCTTTTAATCGTTTTACCGAATTGATTTTCAACTTCAAGAATGAATTCTTTAAATTTTTCAAAAGTATTACTTTTATTTTTCAACAAATATACATAAGTGTATTTTGAAAAATCATCAATAAAAGTGATAAAATATCTATTTCCACCACGTGTTAAAATTCCTTCAAATTCATATAAATCAGTGTGAATTAATATTCTAACAATTCAGTATTTCTCACCACACTTTTATGAGGCCTTTTAGTTATTTTTGCTTAACTGCAAACTTCACATTTCTTAAACTTATTTGTTAGTCTGAGAATTAATCCTAAACTACTCATGACTCTTATATATCGGCTATTAATATGACATAGACGAGCATGCCAAAAATTCATAGAAGACATCATGTAAACAGAAACATGTGCTTTCTTATTCTCAACATTTAATTTAAACATTCCATCACAGGCATACCCTTTCCCCACAAATATGCCTTTTTAAGTGATTACATATTGGTCAGATTCAATAGTCTGTTTGAAACCAGCTTTGTTGAGCAAATAATTTGACATCAAATTTTTCCTCATGGACGGTGTGTACAACACATTTTTTAAAACAAGCACACGTCCAGAGGTAAAATTCAGCTCAACATTCCCATACCCGAGCACCTTGGTTAAACTGGAGTCACCAAGCATAACAGTCATCTCCTCATTAAAAGGAGTGAAATCTTTGAACCAATCTTTATCATAGTAGACATGCCTATTGGCACTAGAGTCTGCTCACCATCCTTCCACAGATTGAACCATAAAAATATCTGTGATCATAGCCACAAATGGTTCCTTGGTAACATTAGCCTGTGGTCGAGACTGTTGTTTCCAAAATTTGCAAGTTCGAGCAACATGGCCACTTTTGCCACACACAAAACATGTCACATTTGTCAGATCTTGTGAAGGAGGTTCTTGGTTCCATTTCTTTTGCCTCGGGTAATTTTTATTTTGTGGCTTTCCAGTATTTTTCTAAATTTTCTTAACTAGCTTCAAATGACTATTTTTATGAAATCGATCTTTAGGTAAAGTATTTTCAGAAGTTAAATTTACCTTTGTAGTGGAATGCTCTTGTGTCATAAGCGCATCTTGTCCTCGTGCTTCCTCCTCCACCCGAATCCGTGTGATTAGAGTCTCTAAGGACGTCTCTTTTTGCTTGTGACGCATTGACTTCTGGAACTCCCTCCAAGATGATGGAAGTTTGTCAACAATACCTGCTACAACAAGATTGTCTCCAATTTTGATGCCTTCAGATCTAACTTCTGCTACTAACATCTGAAAATCTTGAACTTGCTCCACCACTGATTTTCCATCTATCATCTAATAGCGAAAAAAACGGCTTGCAACATATTTTTTAGCGTCTGCCTCTTCAGTGTCATATTTGTTCTGCAAGGCTTTCCAAATTTTCTTGGCAGTGGTGTAAGTAGTATCATAATAATCATAAAATTGATCTGAAAGACAATTCAAAAGATAGTATCGATATTTATGCTCATCTGTGTTGTATTTTTCGAGTTTTTCAAGATGAGCAGCGTACTTCTCATCAGTCATCTCTTCAGTGGGGACTTTGTTCGGATTTTTCTCGGTCAGGATATAAGCCACCTTGAGGAGACTGAGGTAGAAAAACACCTTACCTTTCCATCTCTTGAAATGAGCTCCCTTGAACCGGAAGGGTTTGTTGAGATCGTCGGTATTTTCGTTGGGCTTCTCCAGTACTGGATCCATGAACTTTTGTTATTTGAATCTCCTTAAAATTGTTGGTGATACTTACAAATAAAACACCAGAGAATACACAAAATAAAAGTTACAACAATTAATATAAGGGCTGAGGCGCGAGAAATTCGCTCTCTTTAAGGAGATTCAAGCTCTCTGCTCTCTTTAAGGAGATTCAAGCTGTCTGTGGTTAGGCAAAGCCTTACACCGGTGTAGCAGAAAAATCTTGACTTGTCCTCCCCAGGATACAACAGCCCGACTAAGTCGTATGGTTCACCAATACTGCACAATTGGTTGGACCCAAAGCTTTATCAAACACACCCTTTTTTATTTGCCTGATAATCTCACATTAGACATAACAAAGCAACCCAAAATTTCTTCACCTCTCGTATGTCTCTAGATAGGATCTAAGCTCAAATTATATATAAGAATCTATCTTCGTGGCTAAGTAAAGATAGACTTAGAATGGATAAGTCTCGGTGGACCAAGACCAAGACTTGCAAAGACTTGGAGATTGTCTTGGTAGAAAAGGAACGGATGACTTGGAAAAGACTTGGATAGATAAGGATGATGGATTTGACCAAGACTTGGAAACTTACCTTGGAAGTCTTGGAGAGGATAAGAATTGGTGGACTTGATGAAGACTCGAAAAGACTTGGAGAGAAAGAAAAGAAAAACCAACCTATAACACATTATAATATTAAAATATTTATTAATAATAAATTTTAAAATATAAATAATACGATTCATTAAAATTAAATCCAAAAACAAGTCCGATAACCCCAAGTAGGGAGCCAATAGAGGATTGCTCGTGGGACATCACACGTCAAGTGCTGCGCCTGCTGCTGCAGCTGCAGCTGTGGCCTAGACTGCACAATAGTGTGCTTGACTTGATGTGGACAACACTCTTGATCAATAGGATGGGGCTACACCAAGTTTAGCTGAACTGTGTCTAACTTTTCACTCAATAGTGTGCTCTGCCACTACTGACTTGGCTGTTTTTGATGCTAACTCATCATGTAGCACGACGCATTATAAAATTATGATGATAATATGGCTATGGCAATAATGACGTTGAAGATGATAACATAATATAGACCATATTTGTGTTATTTAGTGCCGTTTTGGCGACCTACACAAAAAGTCACGTTTTCTCATTTGGTTAAAAACGTCAAACTTGATCAAAACGCTGAAAATTTCATTTGGGAAGACTAAAAAAATAATATTTAAATTTATAAAATTATTCTTTGAAATATTTTAATTAATTAATTTAAAAATCAAAAAGTAAAGATATTTTGATCATTTTGACGTGATGTGACATTTTTAAAAAATATTAAATAAAAAAAAAGTCAATTTTTTACCAACTTTCTAAATCATTTCTAAAAAAACTAAAAAACTTGATAAAAAATCAAAAATTAACTTTTTATCAACTTCTCAAAATACCTTGTCTAGTCCTAGATTAATACACTTAGAAAATTCGGAGTGAGTGATTATATAATGAAGATTAATTTATTTAATATGAAATTCATGTATAGAATAAATTTAAACGGAATAATTTTTAAGTTGACAAGGATAGGTTCCTAGTACTATTATTACTGTTTATATACAGTAATTGTAAAAGATCCCAGGGATGTTAGTGCAATTATCTAAAAATATACGTAAAAAGGATAATTTGGTCGCAGAATCTTTTAGACGCAGTCCAAACACAGCCTCCCATCCTCAGAGAGTGAAGCCATGAGCTTGCAATGTTGCTTGGGATTGGGAGGGACGACCTTCCACACCCTCAAACTCGCAGCAATTCCATCATCTTACTCTTCCATTTTCAGACCCCTCTCCAAAACCCTAACCCTAGACCTCCTTCTCCATCCCCACCATTCTCCCCGAAGGCCCTCACTTCCACTTTTCGCCAGAGCTCTCTCAGCCCCAGCCATCCAAACCACAATTCCCGAAGATAAAGGTCATTCAAAACCCTAATTCAGTTTTGGTCATTGGTGGAAGTCAAATTGTATTATTGTTTCAATTTTGTTGTTTTTATTCGTTGTTTGTGTTTTGAATTTGTTGTTGTTGTTGTTGTTGTTGTTGTTTTTGTTATATGGGTTTCAGTTGTGAAACCTCAATGGAAAGCGTCCATAGATTTCAAGTGGATTCGGGACAATAGAGTCGATGTTGCTGCCAACATTAGGAACCGACATTCCAATGCTGACTTGGAACTGGTTCTTCAACTGTATGAGAGATTGTTAAATGTTCAGAAGGTTAGGGTTTTATTACATCTCCATTGTTTTCAGGGGTATTTTAATTGTTGGGCAATCTGTTTTGTTGATTGTTGAGTGTATCATTGTTTGGATTTCTTTTATTGTCAAGGACATTGCAATAAGGACAAAAATATTGAAAATTTGAAATGAAGTGATAACTAAAACCTTGCCAGAAAGTCTTAGTTTTACCATCATATGATAACTTTCGATTGAAACGAGAAACAACTTTTTAGACTCTGCAAAGTTAAGAAAGGCCTCAATTAACCACCGTGGTTTAATGTCAAAATTGTCACTAAATCAATTGGAAGAGCATTGTGATGAAATTAAGCTTTCTTCTTTGTGTGAGTTTGAGAAGACTTGTTGAAGGTGCTTTTCAATGTACTTACATGACGAGTTGTGTGTATTGTGGAGATGTTTTGTTTTCACGTGATATAAGAGTATAGAGAGTTCTATACCAGTTGCATGCTAACCTATGCAAGTCTAAAATTTATCTTGTTAATGAGCCATACTCATAAGAATGTGCAAAAATTTCTTAAATTTGTGCATGAGTGACTGACGCAGTTTTGAGACTTCGAGCCTTACACCTTGTGAGAATTTCTTCTTTTTTAACCCTACAATTGTTTGATGCATTTTCAAGAAGCTTTGGCCTAAGTTGAGTCAGCGAGTCTTGAAATTGTATTTGAGTCCACTACCTCGAGGCCTAGACTAAAAGGGATGGATTTCAGACAAATTTCTGTTGAGGAGTTGTGGTTAGAACACCCTTTCTTGGAGGAGGAGATGATTGGGGCTTTAAAGTCTAAGGTGCTAGGTTTGGTTGGGATGACTGCTCTCTTCCAACAGTGCTGGGGGTTGTTAGGGAGGACGTCATGGGTGTGTTTTCGTCATTTCATGAGTCATATGATGCTTTGAGAGGAGCTTGAATGCTTTGGGGTGGATATGAGGGATTTTTGGCCTATTAGTCTTATTGGCGAAGTTGCTTGCTTTGAGATTGAAGGAATTTTTTCCAAAGGTGGTCTTGGAGTTCTAGAATGTATTTGTAGGGTAGCCAAATTTTTATATGTGGTGTATCCTTTCCTACTTCAAAGTTCATCTTGATCCCCTTAATGATTTTTGTATACGGGTGGCTCCCTTTAGTGCTTTATTTATTTATTTTTTAATTATTATTTTTTAAATAAATAATTTTTTACTCATCACAAAAAAGAAGATGCACAAAATAAAACTAATGTCTGATCAATGAAAAAAACAGTTTGCTCCTCTCTGTGTGTGTGTGTGTGGCTGTGGTAGCCTTAAATCATGTCTGAACCTTACAAATGTATGTGGCCTTTTCAGTTTCAAAGAGAAAACCTATTAAAAGAAGTTTTATACCTGGTGATATTCTTTTGTTGAAATCATGTTGGTTCATGGTACAATTTTTGTTTGTTGGTCTAAAACTAGGAAGCACGGATACGGATACGGATATGGATATGAGATACGGGTACGATACGATACGGCTACGGTGATACGGAAAAATGTGAAAAACTAAGATACGGATACGGCTGGGATACGTTCGTAAAAAATATTTTTTTTTATAATTTTTAGTAATATAGTATGTATACAAATAAAACCTAAAGCAAAAGACAACTTGATAAAAAAGAAAGATTCTTATAAAGTTAAGAGTCTTCGAGATGAATAGCTTCAACTTGTTGCCCATACCTGAACTCATTTCCTAAAATTTATAAATTTGGTAAAGAAATAAAATAAAACATTATTGTAGTTACCTTTTGGCATGAACATCCAAAAAAAATTCAGCAATCCAATTAAATTTCAACAATTCCAGCAATATAGTATCATCACCCATAACAATCATAATGGAATTCAAATTAAGGGGGAAAAAAAAAAAACCTCACAGTAGCTTAGCTTAGTTGCAAAAAAAAGAAGGAAAAAAAAAAAAGAAAAAAGAAATTCAAAGGGGCTAGTGTTAGTACAGCGAGAGGGAGAGAGAGAGAGAGAGAGAGAGAGAGGAACCTTGATCGACGACGAGGACAAGGACGGCGACTTGCTGTTGTACGCAATTCAGAGACGACGACTCTCTTGCTGCTGTTTGACGACTCTCTTCCTGCTGTTCGATGACTCCTCTAGGTAGGGTTAATTGAGCTTCTAGACTTGAAATTGGAGACTTGAGGTAGGAGACTCACCCTTTTAATTGTGAGTTTGAGTTGTTCTTGCATGATTCATGATAAGGTTAATGATTTAAGGCATGAAATAGCTTAATATGTTGAATTGAGTAGGTAATCATGAATGTCCATATTCTAGCTTTGGTCCATAAATTCAGCATGTTTTTGGAAGGATTGACTCATTTGTTCTTGTATTAGAAGCTTTGAAGTTGATTAAATTCATGCATGTTGCATGTACATCATGTTCTTAAAGTTTATTTGAAATTGGGTTCAATTGAACTACCTTTGGGCTTTGATTTTGCAAATTGATCTTTGAAACATGTCATATTATGAGTTTTAAAGTGTTTTCCAGAAAATTAGCCCAAAAGGATCGAATTTGATGCTTTAAAGATTGAGTTTTGTGCTTGGAGACAAATCTGGAAATTCCAGATTTTGGATCCACGCTCGAGCGGGGAACTCCACGCTCGAGCGTACACTCTGAGTTCATGCAGTCCGCTCGAGCGAGTAAAGTAACGCTCGAGCATGAAATGCGTGTATCCAGTACTTTGCATGTGTTTACAGTCCACTCGAGCGAGGGAATGCACGCTCAAGCGAGGACTTGTGTCTCACGCTCGAGCAGGGGTCGAGCGCCCGTCGAGCGTGAATTTCATGCATGCAGTACTTTTGCAATCCGCTCGAGCGAAGAAAGTCACGCTCGAGCGGAGCTCCTTTGCCTGCATGTCTGCTCGAGCGTAGAAAGCCACGCTCGAGCGAGACCCCTATTTTCTAAAAATTTTGGAAAGTGTTTTAAAGTACATCTTTGCATCCTCATTTCATCCTAGGCATTCTTAGGCCTAGTTTAAGGCATCTTAATGAGGTTATTAATGTAGAACCACACCGAGTCAAGTAAGGGGTTAAATTATTAAACCCAAGTGTATAACTTAGTGTGTGTTCGTTCTGTAATTGTAGGGTTGGCATCCGAGGACGCTCATTAGCTGCTTATAGCCCAGTGCTCTGTGAGTAACAATGTTGTAAAGATATGTTCAATCATGAATATTTTCTGAATGATCAACTGTACAGTTTTCTGAAATGATATTTCTTACTGAATGAATGTTTGCCCTATTTATGAACTGAATTCGTGGTATCCATAGCAACCTATTGTTACTGTACTGTTACTGCTACTGTTACAGAGATCTCTGTCGGTTTCCATGTTTAGAACCATTACTGTTTACTGTTATGATGGCCATCAACTGACTGTTCGGTCTGTTAAGACCTACTGTACTGTTTTGCTATTCGATGCACCACATATACCTGTTATGGTTTCTAAATGACTGATATGACTGTTTAATGATTGAAATGACATTCATTCTTAACCTCTTTACACAACTATTATTCACTGGGCTTTAGCTCACTGTTTATATTTATATGTAGGCGTTCAGGCACCGGATCGGAGTTAGGAGCGTCGGGTTAACTCCCTTTTTGTCAAGCCAACCAATGTGTCTCACTGTGAGGTTCCAAGTGTACTCGAGCCAAGGCTGCTTTGGGATGTTTTAGATTCCCCCTTTCTGTTTCTGTTTTATATAGACTGTATGAGACTTGTGCTGTACTGTTATGGTAGAGACTTGGTCCTCAACTTGAATGTCTGTATATGATATGTGTATGTACATACTGTTTTGCTTATGAATGTGAATATGTTCAGAAAAGTCTTTTTGCATACAGATTGTCACAGCTCATTGGACATCTTTTTATTACTGTTTTGGCTTCCGCCAGCCCCTGTACTCTGTATTACTGTTATTACTGTTAAGCAGGCCTTCGGTAATCACGGATTACTGGCTGGTTATGGTGCTAAACCCATAGGGACGGGTTTGGGCCGTGACAGTTATTTTATATGTAGAATTCATCTTTATATGGTTGGTTCTCCTAAAACAGGTTGACTAGTAGTAAATTTTTATCAATCTTATCAACTTGACGCAAATTTCTATTAATCTTATCAGTTGAACTTAGTACAAAAAATAATTTTATTAACTTAAAATAAAGAAATAAATTGAAATAATATGGATTAAGAAAAGGAGCATCTTCCAAAATCCGAAAAGCAATGCCTTCGAGTTGGCAACATGGGAAACATGCGAAAACATAAAACCACCCTTACTATCGTTACAATCAGTTAGCAAACTGAAAATCTAAAACAATAACCCATCTATAGGGATGAGAACGAAATGGGTTTTTCGAATTTTGCACTTGAATTTTTACTTTTAAATTCAATTATTTTAGTGATACAATTTCATAGTTAATTTATTATAAATTTGACAGTTTTAACCTATCTACTACCATAATTTACCATACCTAATCAATACTCTCTCAAACCAATTTATATTAAATTCAGATTAAAGTAAATACAATTGGATGGGAAATTTTTTCTATCCATCTCCCATGAACAAATATTATGAAGCTTAAGAGAGAGTAGAGTGAACAATCAACGATTTGTAAGTCCTAGAACACATAATTACCAAAACATAAACAAACATAATCATACAATAAAAATCTCAAAACAAATACAAGGGAAAAACATTCATACATAGGTGTGATTGTTGAATTTTTGACCTTCACTACAGGAACGCGTATCACTTTATTATTGAAAAGGATACTACATGTACTTCGGATCTACTAGATAATTTTCCTACCCTTTTTTTGGTATTGCTTCCAATGGTTCCAATTTTGAAACTCCCACTCCAATTCTATCTCTCATGTCCATCGTCTTCCCATTAACATGGCCTTCAAGCTCCCAATCAAATTCATGAAGCAATGAACCCGAAAGAAGATGCAACATTTGGTGACCTAATGGAACACCTGCACACATTCTTCGTCCAGCACTGAATGACATCAACTCATAGTGCTGACCATTGTAATCAATCTTTGAGCCAATGAACCTCTCAGGTTTGAAAGACAGGCTCATCCTAGCATTCTGGGTCTCTTCTAATTGCCCATGTGTTAATAAACTTGTGTGTTTTTGGGTATGTTATATCCCATAAAATTGATGTCGTGAATTGCCTTTGGTGGAATTAGTAATGGAACTGGAGCATGTAAACGTAGCGTTTCTTTCACCATAGCTTGCAAATATTGCAGACGATCGATGTCACTTTCTTCCTTTTTGTTGTTTGGTCCGACGATGTTGTTGAGCTCGGCTTTAACCTTTATCATGGTTTCTAGGTGTCGTTGGAGTTCTGCCATTGCCCATTCGATGGAGTTGCTAGTTGTATTTGTGTCAGCTAGAAATACTTTATGCATCACTTTGTTCAGTCAGTTATGCTTGATAATGCTATTTGGCTGGTTGGGTAGGTCGGACTGATCCAAGGGCTCCGCGGATTGATCGGACTGCGCCCTCCAAGCTGAACCTGCAATAAGTCCACCAGGAAGGTTTCGAAATGGAGGAAGTTCCTTCTTGTAGACCCTCCGATGATCAAGTTAGATGAGAATGCAGTTTGAACAATCACCTAGAGAAAGTCAAGAGAGAAGAGAAAAAAAAGGAAAGTTATCGTTACTTGTCCTTGAGACATTCTTCACAGGCTTT